CACGTGACAGATCATTTCTGCGTGCTCACTCAGTTGTTCTGGAATTCCTCCTACTGTCAGATAGCTGTCCCCAACAGTCTCTACCTTGTAAACCTAAACATTGTCAGGACCAATGTATGTTCATCCATTTATTCACTCATCCGAGTTATTCGATGGGATTGGTTAAAGCGAACCTTATGCATGGCTACCAAACGGTCAAATCGATGAAATAGCTCATTAAGCATTAGCACAATGTCCTTAGGTTGTGAATGTGGCAGTATTGACTGGAAATTTGGCACGTCGGTGAACATTACTGTAGCTTGTTCGTACTCACCTGAAAGAATAACTCGAAGCCTTTAAAACTCTAAATTTTTGGAATCTGCTAATTAATGGGTTAGTGTTTAACCTACGCGCTTCGATATGTTCCCCGTTCATCAGCTGATTAGCTATTGTTAATGGGAGCATATCTTTGAGAATCAGATCTGAATCAGTTAGTTTAGGTGAATAATGGGATTTATTTCTCAATTTCTTGCAAAAATTTTAGAAAATTGGGCCAAACCAGTTTTATGCTTTTCAGCTTCCAAATCTTTAGCCATAGTCTCTAGCTGTTCATTGTTAGCTTCAAGTTGAAGACTAAAGAAAACATGTTTTTTTTCCAATTTATTGATTGATTACTATCGTGACTAACTTCACTTCAACATCTGTTAGACGTTGTTGATTGAGGAGTATAAGGTCTCTAGTAGCGTCATGTAAAGGCATAGCCGTCAATCGCATTCCAAATTGCATCAGTTCAGGTATTGATGTAACGTAGGGTGAGCAGACATAGATAAGCATCTGAAAGAATTTATTGTAGTGATTTTAACTGCAATTATTTCATAGCTTGAGAGAGAAAATTTATGTTTTTTACTCGACAAATTTTACTAAAACTTTCGATAAGGCTACCGGAGTTCCCTTCTATTTTTCGCTTTTTTCCAGTACTTTTTTTGTTTTAGTCCATAAAAGTTCTGTTGTACATCTCTTAAACCTTTGAAAATATTGACTATATACTAAGGCTGCTTTTATGTAACGACTAGAAATTAATTATTAATTAATTATTAATTTTTCACTTTTTACTTTTACGCAAAAATTTTATTCGCTGTTTCCACTTTGTGGAAGACATTTGAGGGGCTCATCTTTAAGTATGTTTTTTGGTGCATCGCTTACATAGCCGTTACAAATGAATTTGTAAAGTAAGCGCAGTCGAGCATGCTTCCAAGGATGTTTTTTTACCGAAAATCAACGGAATGCAAAGACAAACTCAAAGTATTTAAACTATCAGCCAACCGTTATATATTTTTTGGGTAGAAAATTTCAGAAAATTGCCTAATTTGTCGAAATGCAGCTCTTAGTAAGGAGAAATTTTCAACAATCTCATCGATGTATACCTATTAAATTCATTAAATCGAAGATCTTCTTTAGGGGATTTCTAGACAATGCTTGTTTTCTGAATTTCCCCTTAGAAGGATTTCGAGTTTCGTGGATCTAGAATTAGCTTATATTTCTTTTCCACCATATTTCGCTTCTTCGTCTAGTATTGTGAAACTTAACAGTTGATGTAGTTTCGTACTGCTTTTCGCACGTTGCGGGGCGCCAGTAAACTAGTGGACGATACGGGGCAAACGAACTGGCGGCCATGCAACTAGAAGATATCGGCACTACCTTTAAAAATAAAACCATCGGTGAAGATTTAATCAACGTCCGAGCGCGTTTCATGCAGAGTTTGAGGCATTTGTCAGAGGTGGTTATTAATAAAGGCCTTATGCAATAGTGAGGATATCATATATCGAGATATAAGTAAAATTGATTTATGAAGTCAAAGGTTATATGTTAGTATGGTTTAATCACGAAGTTGAATGTTAGTGATGATTTATCAATAAAACTGTATTTTATAAGAAGTTGCTTGATCCATATGAAGTATTCTTTGGATTACTGCTGCTATTTTTTCACTTTAATATCTAAATTTCTTTTATGTTCTATCCTCTTTTTTCCAAAATTCATTGAAACTAAAATTATTTTGAGCGATCGTTAAATATTTCTAACTTACTCTGCTATCACTAAGCAACATCATTTGCCCTTTCAACTTCAAATGATGTCCATGATGAAAGGCAGCGGTGGCGGCTGTGTTTGCTGTG